AGGCTATATATACAACCTGAAGCCTTTTCCCAATCTCATGCTACTTTACTAAAGCATAAATTGAGCTAAAATTGACAGCATTGTAGTGGTGATTTCAGTTTGGCAATTAATTTACCATAAACAATTTTGTTTTATGACCCATTAATCAGTCACCTGTTGAGTTCTGTAACACCTTTTTTTTGAGACAAGTTCTCAGTGTGTGTAGGCCCGGCTGTGTGTAGGCTGGAACTTACTATGTAGACCAGGTTAGTCTCAAACTCCCAGTGATCTGCCTATCTCTGCCTCTGCCTCCTGAGTGCTGAAATTATTACATTTATTTTTTAGCAATTCTTTTTTAAAAAATATATTTTTTAATATTTTACTTATTATTTTTATTTTATGTGTATAAGTATATTGCCTGCATGCAATATGTGAGTGCATCCGTGTCGTGCAGTGTCACGGAGGTCAGAAGAGGGCTTCAGATTCCCCTGGAACTGGAGTTAAGGACAGTTCGTAGCCACCATGTGGCTGCTGGGAATCGTACCCAGGTCCTCTGCCGGAACAGTCAGTGCTCTTAACTGCTGAGCCATCTCTCCAGCCCCGAAATTATTACATTTTTAACATTTGAGATTTGTCCTAAGTTATTCCTACTGCAATGATGGAATAGTGGGGGTAGAAGAGACTTAGATGAATTCATTTATTATCAAATAATAAATGTTCCTGGTAATGCTTCAGTGCTGAGAATACACTGCTGAACAAAATAAGGCCCTTGTACCCGTGGAGCTCAGATTCACTTATATGATTATAACTGCAGTCAGGGATACAAATGAATAAGTATTTTTCTTTATGGTAAATATTCTGAAAGAAACAAAGCAGAACAACAGGATAGACTGTAATTGGGATGAAGGAAACGAGGGATAGTGCTATTAGAACTGAGACTTAGATGCTGAACAGTTTGGGAGAAAAATCTTCAAGTAGAGAATGAAAAGCACTAAGTAAGAACACTCCAGTTTATGTTTAATGAGTGGCTAATGGAGAAATGGACATGGTTGCAGACCTATCAAGAGACTTTTTGCTGACACCGTGTCTGGGATTCACATCAGTGACAAAATGGAAGAGACGCAACTATAAAAGAAAACTAGCCCTGAACTAAATCTAGAATGTGATGGAGAATGAGTGTTCATTACATTATTCTTCCTACTTTTGTATATGTTTGAAAACTTTTATTAAAATGTTTTTATTAAGGGGCTGGAGAGATGGTTTGGCAGTTAAGAGCACTGACTGTTCTTACAGAAGACCTGGATTCATATCCCAGCACCCACATGGCAGCTAACAACTGTTCATAACTCTAGTTCCAGGGAATCCAGTGCCCTCTTCTGTCTTCCTCGGGCATTGCATGACATGAGTGCACTTACACACGTGTAGGCAATACACATATATACATAAAATAAAAATAAATAAAATATTTTAAAAGGTATTTATTAAAAAACAAAACAAACAAAAAACACTCAGATATGGTGGCATGTGCCTATGACACCAACACTGAAGAGGTGGAGGCAGGAGGATCAGAAGTTCAAAATCATCCTCAACTACCTAGGCAATTTGAAACCTGCCTGGACTATATGAGATTCTACCTCAGGAACAAAATAAAATAAAAATTCCTTCCTCATTATTTTTGTACCTTTTCACTGTCATTCCAACAAAATTTACAACATCTATTAAATCAGTGCTAAAAAAAATGGTTGGAGGTGATTGTAGTAGAGTACTTCTCTCACTGTCAAATAACTGTTGGTTGAATCAGTGCTAAACAAAATGGTTGGAGGTGATTGTAGTAGAGTACTTCTCTCACTGTCAAATAACTGTTGGTTGAACATGATACCTGTAATCCCAGCACTTGGGAAGTAGACACAGGAAGATCAATGCCCCGTCATCCTTAAGTACATAGCAAGTTCAAGGCCAGTGTGGGCTACATGAGCTCCTGTATCAAAAAACCAGGAGGGTGACTGAGACACCCTTGTATCAGAGTAAAGGTGAATTTCTCAATAAAAAATATTTTATGCCGAGGTAAGCATGGTGACACATGCCTTTAAGCCCTCTGTGTTCCAGACCAACCGGGGAACCCCACCAACTTTTTAACAATGTAAGTAGAAAATGACAGTATCATGGACCAGAATCATATAATGGGTTGTGAGCTCATTTAAAAGGAAAGCTCCTAGGACTCTCAGGTGAATTAGATATGTATTGTAGGAGAGAGAAGAGAAATCACTGACTGTAGGCATTTTTCCCAAAACCTCTGGATAGATAAGTTCAGGCATCAGTTTGGAGGAGGGGCTTAAGAGTTTGGAGGACTGGGATAATGTAGCTCCATAGTAGAGCTCTTACCTAAGTCTGTGTAGGACCCTGGGTTTGATCCCCAGTACCATAGAAAAGGTGTAGAGGGGATTTTTGTATGCTGTTGTTGCTGATGTTGTTTTTTGGTTTGGTTTGGTTTGGTTTGGTTTACAATGTTGGGGGTTGAGCTCAGCTCTTTACACATACAATCCAAGAGTTTAGTTTTGACAGTGTAAATTTAGGATGCCAGTTCAGTTTCCAAGTGGAAATATTGAATAGGTAGTGCTGTTAGTAGTATATTTGCTAACCCTAAATAGCATTACATACTCAGAAGCAAACCTAGAACCCTCCATTATGTGTTTCTTTTTATTATTTTTACTTTATGTGTATGCGTGTATTGCCTGCATGTAGGTAAGTGCACCCGTGTCGTGCAATGCCGGCAGAGGACAGAAGAGGCCGTTGGATTCCCTGGAACTGGAGTTACAGACAGTTGTTAGCTGCCATGTCGGTGCTGGGATTCAAACCGGGTCTTCTGCAAGAACAGCCAGTGTTCTTAACCACTGACCCATCTCTCCAGCCCTAAAGATTTTGTGTGTGTGCGTCTTTTTGAGACAGGGTCACCCTGTAGCCCCAGCTGTCCTGGAACTCACTATGTAGACCAGGCTGGCCTTGAACTCACAGAGATCTGCCTGCCTCTGCCTCCCAAGTGCTGGGATTAAAGGCGTGCACCACCACGCGTGGCTATTTATTTATTTTTATTATTATTTTGTTTGTTTGTTGGAGAGAGGGTCTCCCTGTAGTCCCAGCTGTCCTGGAACTTGCTATGTAGACCAGGCTGGCCTCAATCTCACAGAAGATTTGTCTGCTCTGCCTCCCTAGTGCTGGGATTAAAATCATGCACCACCACACCCAGCTGTTTATTATTATTTTTCAGTCCTGTGTGTGTGTGTGTGTGTGTGTGTGTGTGTGTGTGTGCATAAGTGCAGGTGCCCACAGAGACTAAAGATGTTGGATCCCCTGGAACCTGAGTTGCATATGGCTGTAAGCCACTCTACATGTGCACTGGGAACCAAACTCTGATCCTCTGCAAAAGCAAAATGCTTTCTAAAGCCCTGAGCCATATCTCCAGCCCCCATTTGTGTTTCTAAACTTTGCCATTAGTAGCTTAAAATTTCTGTTCTTCTACCCTTTTCAAATTTTGTGGGTCATGATGAAAGGCTTGTTAAAACAGTGTGAAGTAATTTTTATATGTTTTCTGTGAATTTGTTGTTATAATTTATTATTGTTGTTATTTATTATTGCTACCCTGAGCAATAATTCTCTGTTACCAGCCACCTACAAAAAGACTAATGTTAGCATGGGGTATATACTCCAGAAAGTAAAACATATGGTGTTTTTCTTCAGTGCATGTGGTGATACAAGTTAGAATAAATTTTTACTTTTTAATTAAAACATAACAAATGTTCATATTTATAAGGTAACATTTCAATGCCTATGTAAAATATTTATCAGGATTATTGTCATATCCATCATCTCTGACATTTATCTTTTCTTTGTATTAGGAACCTTCAAAATCTACTAGCTAGTTTGAAATACACAATTTTGATGAATCATAGTTATCCTGCTGTGCTATACAACATTAGAAGTTATTCATTCTATCCCAACTGCACCCCTGTACTCACCAACTATCCTCTCTTTATCCCCTCCTCCCCCACATCTTTCCCAGGTTCTGGTAGCTGCTATTCTATTTGATAAAAATAAGATTTTGTACTAACACTTGAGTGTGGTGTGTGTGTAATTTTTTTATGTGTATTGAGTGTTTTACCTGCATCTATCTTAGGTGCACCCATGCTTGTAATGCCTGAGGTGGCCAGAAGAGGGCATCAGATCCCTGGAACTGGAGTTAGAGAAGGTTGTTACCTACCACATGGGTGCTGGGAACTGAACTCAGGTCCTCTGCAAGAGCAGCCAGTGCTCTTAACTACTGAACCATCTCTTTACCCACATGCATGCGTGCATGTTTTCTTCCAGACTTTGGATCCGTTATGGTAACTAAGCACTCAGTGGTAGAATGCTTCCCTAGTATATATGAAGGCCTAGGTTTGAACCCAGGACCTAGCACCACAAAAATGAAAAGCAAACGCTTAATCTTGTAAGAAAAAGGAGTAAGAAAACATTTTACATCTTATCAGGACACTATTGAAACACTATCATTGAAAACCACTAATGATAACTAATATTTATTTATTAAGAACTTACCACTTTGACCCCAGGCACTACTTTAGGAAGATGTATTTTCATTGACTCCTCACAACAACCTCATTTTATTAATACTTCTTTTACAGAAAAGGAAATATAAGACCCAAAGTTTCACTAACATAGGAAGTAGAGCCAGGATGCAAACACAAGCAGTCTACTTATAGAGCTTTTACCCTTTTATTTGTTTAGAGTTATTACTCTTAATTGTTACCATATAATTTAAATAGAATATTTTAAGTTTTATTTTAGGAAAATTGTCTAAAGTAGGCATGAGCAGAGAAATGAGCAATCTGTTGGATTTGCTTCTGCCTCATCCTGTGAAGTTGGAACTTTGGAATAGGGAAGAGAGAATAATCCTTAACTGGATCTCCATCATCCTTTTTACTTTTCTTCCTTAAATAATTTGTTTTCTCTTAACTTTTTCCTTACAGCATCAGCGAGAGCTTTTTAACTGTCAAAGGTGCTGCCCTTTTTCTACCACGGGGAAATGGCTCATCTACACCAAGAATCAGCCACAGACGCAACAAGCATGCAGGTAAAGCTGCACCACATAGTGTTACAGTTTCATTTCTATTACTGTGATAATAGAACTACACAGACAAAAAGCAACTGAGGAGAGAAAATGTTTGTTTTAACTCACAGTTCCAGGTATATTATTGCAAGGAAGTCAAGGCAGAATCAAACTAGTCATATCCATTAGCAGTCAAGAGCAGAGAGAAGCAAATGCATGCATGCTTGCTTGTGCTCAGATTGAGTTCTCTACTTTTAAATGGTTAAGGACCACTCCCCACTGCTACCACCCCTGTCTAGGGAATGGTACCACCCACAATGGGCTGAGTCCTCCCACATCAATTAATTTTATTTATTTATTTTTCATTTTATGCGTCTGTGTGTATTGCCTACATGTAGGTAAGTGCACCCATGTTGTACAAAGCCCTTGGAGGTCAGAAGAGGCTGTCGGATCCCCTGGGACTGGAATTACAGTCAGTTGTTAGCTGCCATGTGGGTGCTGGGATTCAAACCCAGGTCTTCTGCAAGAACAACCAGTGTTCTTAACTGTTGAGCCATATCGCTAGCTCCTCTCCCAAGTCAATTAACTTAAGACAGTCTCCTTACAGATACACAGGGGAACCCAGTGCAGACACTCCCTCATTGAGGCTCTCTTCCCCAGTGATTCTAGGTTGTATTGAATTGACAATTAGGAGAAGACTTTTTTTTTGGTTTTTGGTTTTTTGGTCTTTTGAGACAGGGTCTCCCTGTAGTCCCAGCTGGTCTGGAAAACACTCACTATGTAAACCAGGCTGGCCTTGATCTCACAGAGATTCCCCTGCCTCTGCCTCACAAATGCTAAGATTAAAGGCATGCGCAGCCAAGTGCGGCTCAAATTGACAATTAAAGCTAACCATCACACACATCTTAATTCCTTCCTCAAATACCTTGACCTTTAGTTCTAAAATACTTTTAATCCAATTTTTCCAACATTTTTTTTTTCCCTCTAGGTGTTTGGTTTGGTTTGGTTTGGTTTGATTTGGTTTGGTTTGGTTTTAGCAGTTGTTGCAGTTCAATACAGGGTCTCTGGGCATGTTAGACAAGCACTTTACCCTAGAGGAACACCCCCAAACCATAACATTTTTAGTTATTAATTTTGAGTTTCTTTGAGACAAAGTCTCATGTAACCCAGGCTGGTGTCAAACTTGCTATACAGCCAAGGAACTGATCCTTCTGCTTCTACTTCTCAAGTGGTAGGACTACAGGTATGAGATGCCATGCATGGTCAACAGTTCTTTCATAATGAAAGTGTTATATCGAACTACAATCACTTTTCAACTACTTTCTAGCACTTACTGGAATGAATTATACACATAGTATTAGATCACAGAGCCTCTAGTTGCTGTTTTCCTCTCTCCTAGTAGTCTGACCACACCCCTACATGGAGTCTTTCTTCTTAGAGTTGGTAAGAAAGTATGTCATGACCTTGTAGCTCTTACAGAGCTGAGTTCTCTCCCTCCCTCTTGTAGCTACAAGCAAAGCTAAGTCTTCTCCTTATGTCCCAGACCCAAGATGGCCTTGAGTCATACTACACTTTTATCAGTGCCTTCCTGACTTCTAGCATGTAGGCTAGGTCACATGATATGGAACCAACTCCCCCTCATCCCTGAAAAATAAGAAAACTGTAAGATTCAAAAAAAGTGCCTTTGTTCTTTGGAATTAAAGGCTCTCTCCCCCTTTAAGACTCCATCATGCTGCTGATGACATAAGGCTATAACTCTTCTAATGTTCTGGATACTAGAAGGCATTGCAGGCCCTTCCTCCTGAGACCCTTTTACACTACATCTGATGGCTGTATCTCCTAATAAAGGTCTTCTTTGGACCTGAATTGCTTTCTCCAGGCCTTGGTGCTATAACTTTCCTAATGAAGCTTCTCTGAAGGGTGTTTTCATCTCAGCTTCCCTTCTGTGACCCATATTGTCTTCTATAACACAGAGTAGGTGTCTAGTAAATTTTCGTTGGAATAATAGTGGAAAGATACAAAAATACTCTTTAAAAAAGGATTTTTTCTAACCAGGCATGGTGGCACATGCCTTTAATCCCAGCACTTGGGAGGCAGAAGCAGAGGCAGGCAGATCTCTGTGAGTTCAGGACCAGCCTGGTCTACATAGGGAGTTCCAGGCCAGCCAGGGCTACAGGGAGATCTTGTCTCCAAAAGACCAAAAAAGAGAAGTGGGGGCACATTTTTCTTTGTTTTATTTTTGAGGCAGGATGGCCTAAAACTCCGTATGTAGTTGAGAAGCTCCTTGAATTTCTGCTCCTCCTGCTTCCACCTCCTCAGTGCTGGGATTACAGATGTGTACCTGTACATTAAAATATATATTCTTAGGGGCTGGAGAGATGGCTCAGTGGTTAAGAACACTGGTTGTTCTTATAGAAGATCCAGGTTCAAGTCCCAGCACCCACATGGCAGCTAACAACTGTCTGTAACTCCAGTTCCAGGGGATCTGATACTCTCTTCTGACCTCTGTGGGCATTGCATGGCAGGGGTGCATTTACATATATGCAGGCAATATATATATATTCTTGGGCTGGTTATGATGGTGCACATTTGTAATCCCTGGGCCCCAAAAAAGTAAAATAACCTGGCCTTGAATATCAGATTCTGGGCTGTACATGTTGGAGCACACCTTTAATTCCAGCACCTAGGAGGAAGAGGCAGGTGGATCCTTGACTTAGAGGCCAGCCTGATCTGCAAAGCAAATTCTAGGCCAGCCAGGCCTACACAGTGAGACCCTATCTCAAAACAAAACAACAGCAACAAAAAATAAGGGTTGTTTCTTGAATGTATATACAACAAAAGACTAGAATTTAACCCAAAGGGCTTTGCTAGGCTAGAAAGCCATCAAATAATTGTTCATCTAGTAACAAGTATAAAAATCTGGTTTTGGAATAGCCACTCATGATAATAGATACATTATATTTCCTTATATTGGATTTCTAGAAAGTCAAATTCACCCGTAGTGGTGAAGTTAAAAAAAGGCAGTCAGGAGCCGAAAAGATGGCTCAGTGGTTAAGAATGCTTACTGCTCTTGCATTAGATCTGGGTTCAGTTCCCAGCACCCACATGGTGGCTCTCAATTGCCTATAAACTCCAGTTCCCAGAAGATCTGATGCCCTCTTCTGGCCTCTGTGGACACCTAAATGCATATGATACACAATAGCTCACATTTTTAAAAATCTTTCCCCCCCCCCTTTGGTCTTTTTGAGACAGGGTCTCCCTGTAGCCCCAGCTGGCCTGGAACTCACTATGTAGACCAGGCTGGCCTTGAGCTCACAGAGATCCACCTGCCTCTGCCTCCTAAGTGCTGGGACTAAAGGCATGTGCCACCACGCCCGGCAAAAATCTTTTTTTTTTTTTTTAAGGAAAAAAAAAGGCCAGTCATAAAAATCTGAGGAAGGTCCCTCAGTATAGGGCACTCACAGTTCAGGAAGATAATCAGTCCACTTCTTTCCTTCTGTCAGCAAGCCTGTTTGTGCCATTTGGAAGGGAAAATAGAAGTCAACCTGAGGACAAAAGTCTTGATCAATACTATACCAAGAAGTGGTTGCTGTTGTCATAAATGTATCACTTTGTTGACTTGTGACCTCCAGGAATATAAGAAATTATGAGGAATGGAACTTGAATATATAGACCAAAGGTAAAACTTAGAAATACTGGATCTCGTTGAGTTGGTATTTGAGTTTAGCTATAATCAAAATAATCTCAGCTGCCCTACTTCTTGTTTGAGCTTTCATCTTGTTACAAATGTAGCAATTCACAATTATAACCAGTTTCCTTAGGCAATATTATCCAACTACCGGAATTCTCTGGCAGTGGTTTTGGGTTTTTTTGTTTGTTTGTTTTCTTTTTAAGTAAGAGAAGGAAAACTTGACAATTAGCTTAGGTATACTTTCTAAGCCCTTCCTCCTCAGTATTCTCCATTGGAGATGAGGGGAGGGAGTGCCTCCCCCCCAAAAAACATGAATGCTCAAAGGAAACAGGCCCAGCTAAGTTTTGTATTTCTACGTGTGGATATTTGTGACAGCAAAAAGAAGACAGATTATTGTTTTAAATTCAACTCATTTGACTAAGATGTTGGATAAATTGCCCTGTGGCACATGATAGTAAGTGGGGTCAGTAGCTTTAAAGCTCCTGGCTTTGATTGACATCTTGTTTAGTCTCCCACACACAGCTGTCATCCATATTGCTACTTGTTCAGTTAGCTAAAAAGGCAAAGCGATTTGACAGAAACTGAATGGAATTGATTTGTGATTCAGAAGAGAACAAATGAGGCAATTTACCCAGAAACACAACATCTTCATATAAACTGCTGTGGCTAAGCTCAGCATGGGGCAGAAGAGAGAGCACGTCAGTGGCTTATCATGTCTGATGGTATGTTCTGTGTGTTTCTTTGCTGGCTAGAGTTTTAATCTGGGCATTTAAAATATCTAAACACTGTTTTGCAATCTAAAAAATAATATTATTAGTGACTGTCTGTCAATACTATCAGTGAAATGCCTGAGAAGAATACAGGAGGAGCCTTAATGCTACAGTTATATTACAGTCTCTGTGAATAAAAGTTTCCCAGTAGGAAACATCCAGTTTGCTCATAGCAACACATTTCACAGCTGGAAAACCTCAGCTTCCATATATGCAGTTCATATAGGAAGCCCTATAGTAGAAGTAAGGCTCCTGGTTTTTGCCTGAACTTCAAATGAGCCAACTAGATCTTCTAGTCACTAATGCCTTGAGAGGCTAGTGCCTTCGATTCAGGGTTCCCAGGTTTCAGAAGTTCTACATCCTGAAAATCCTTTCCAAGGCTTTTCATAAGACAGGAACCATGCGGGGGGGGCGGTTAGATTTGGGTTTTGTTTTTTGTTTGTTTAATTTATTTTCATTTTGTGTTTATGTGAAAAGGATTCCCTGGAAATGGGTTTGGTTACAGACAGTTAGCCACCATGTGGGTGCTGGAACCAAACCCAGGTCTTCTACAAGCATAGCAAGTGCTCTTAGCCACTAAGCCATCGCTCCAGCTCATTTTTTTGGTTTTTAAGTTTTTGTTATCTTGTTTAGTGGTGCTAAGGGTGGAACCCAGGGGCCTTGTCTAGCGCTGTGCATGTGTGTGTGTGTGTGTGTGTGTGTGTGTGTGTGTGAGAGAGAGAGAGAGAGAGAGAGAGAGAGAGAGAGAGAGACTGACTTATTCTATAACTCAGGCTGGTCTGGAATTCACAAATTCATGTCAATCCTCCTGCCTCAGCCTCCTTAATATTGAGATTGCAGCTATGAGCCACCACACCTGTTGTATACTTGGAAATTTGGGGGGGGGGGGCCAGGGTGTGTTGTTTGTTTGTTTTCAGGCAGGATTTCCTCCCAGGCTGACTTCATACTATGTAGACAAGGCTAGCCTTGAATTCCTTATCCTTCTACCTCCACCACTAAAGTATTAGGATTACAGGCTATTATGACTACTACTGTATGAATTTATTTATGTACAAGTTTCATGTGCACATATGTTTTCATTTCTCTTGGGTTTATACCTGGGAGCCCATTCTGCTACTTCAGTGTGAGACTTAGATTGTTTCTCTGGGTTTGAAATACAGTAGAATGACTCGGGCCAAATGTAATTACTTCTTTTAAACCTTGAGAGTTGAAGGACTCTTATGGTGGAATTGGTCAGAAGTTAGAAATGACTATTCTTTGAAACAAAGGAAGAAAGATTTTCAGACTTGTCAACCTTTTAAACAAACACCTATTTGCATTTTTCTTTGTGCCTCTCTCCACTTCTTACAAATATAATGTCATAATTAATAGCTATGAATTTAACACAAAGGAAATCATTTTTTTCAAGGCTAATATGAGAACAGGCTATATTGGCATCCATGATTATGTGACTGTATCAATCATCTTAAGACTCTTTAAAAAAAAAAAAGTACCCCAAGTGGCAGAAATGAAGGCTTGGGTTCTTAGAGTGTAATCATTTGTGACAGTGTATTATCTAATGCTCTCCAGTTAGCCAAAGCCTTGGAAACTGGTAATCTTTTTCAAAAAGTAGAATATCTTCAATTTGTTCTTTGACAATTAAAAAAAAATTATTTTATATATATGAGTATATTGCCTGCATGTGTGTAAATGCACCATATGTGTGCAATGCCCAAAGAGGTCAAAAGAAGTCATTGAATCCTCTGGAACTCAAGTTATGGGTAGTTGTTAGCTGCCATATGGGTACAGGGAACCAAACCTAGGTCCTCTGCAAGAGCAGCCAGTGCTCTTAACTACTGAGCCATCTCCACAGCCCCCTATTCTTTGACAACTTCATACGTGTAAACAATTCATTTGATAATATGCACCTCTCCCAGATACCCTCCAACATGTCCCCCTCTCCCTTTCATGTTCTCTCTTCTCTGTGTGTCTGTGTGTCTCTCTGTGTGTGTGTGTGTGTGTGTGTGTACACGTGCACGCGCGCATGTGTCAATAACCCACTGAGTCCAATTAATGCGGCCTGTTGGAATGTTAACTGATCTTGTTGATTTGATCTTATACGAGTAATCATAGCTACAAGTGAGTTCATGGATACAATGGGCATATCACATCCCAAAGACAGCATTTCACAGCACTCCCCCATCCTCTGGTTCTTATGTTCTTTCTACCCCTCTTCTGAGATTTTTTCCTGAGCTTTTGGAGGGTGTTGATATAGATGTCCCATTTAGTGCTGAGTACTCACTAAACACTTACTCTCAGCACTTTGACTAATTATAAGTCTCTGAATTAACTGCTGGCCACAGCAGAGAGAAGATTGAGGGCAAGGTTGAGGGTAGCACTAGTCTATGGATATAGTCATAAATAAGAATGCAGTTTGACATGTTGTTCAGCAAAACAACAGTATAAGTCCCTCCCTAGGGCCAGTGACCTCCTGAGCCATGGACTTTTGACCATGTTTACAGTACCAGGCCTAAATTCCTTCCCATGAAGCAGGCCTCAAATCTAGTCTAAAAGCAGTTGGTTACCCCCATAACCTTTATGCCCCTAATACACCAATGAGTACATCTTTCCTGGCGGGTTGTTATTGTAGCATTCAGGGTTGGCTGCATGTCTTTCCACCCCCGTGGCGTACATAGCATCTTCCAGCACTGTGAAAGCTAGTCATCAGGTACAGTTGTCAGGACAGTTCCAGCTTGATTTCTTTGTGCCTGGAACCAAAGTATGTTGTATCTTCAGCAATAAGCCTTATCATCTACTTCTAGTGGGCAACCAAGAGAAAAGGCAACAGTGTTTGTTGTTTTGAGGGCCCTCCAGGGCTTCCCTGACCAATAACTCATAGGGAGGTATCCCATTGCTGGTACTGAGATTCTCATTTAATAACCCGTGTTTTCTGAGGGACTCATTATCCACCCATGTAGGGCATCTGTGTTCAAACTTCTGCTTTTTAAAAATTAATTTACAAAGTAGTAGGTTTCCATAGGAGTTTTTCATACATTATTAGTATCTTAAATCTTAATATAATTTTCAACTTCATTTTATAAAATATGTAAGAATAAGTGAGGAATCAAATAATAGTTGGCCATGTTAAAGCACATGATAAATTCAGGAGAATCATTAGCTATCTCTAATATGTTCTGTTTAATAGAACTCTCATCTTTATACCAGCCACTAATGTAGAAATCATTTTAAACTGCTGACAGTAAGCAGTTTCTTAGGTTAAATTACAGAAATAGAAATTATAAATACAGGCCGGGCGTGGTGGAGCACGCCTGTATTCCCAGCACTTGGGAGGCAGAGGCAGGCAGATCTCTGTGAGTTCAAGGCCAGCCTGGTCTACATTAGTGAGTTCCAGGACAGCTGGGGCTTATAGGGAGACCCTGCTTCAAAAAGACAAAAAAAAAAAAAAAAGAAAAAAGAAATTATAAATACCATTTACAACTTAGGGATAATTCTTCAGACACTTCTTTTGCTATCCTTAATGAGGCCTTTGCCAAACAGACTCATGAACAGATCACTCATCCACTTCTACCATTGTGTAGATTGAGATGGATCTTAAGTACACCTTCCCTAGGATAGACACAAATTTTAACATAATATAAACTAAAAGAGAATATGTTAAAATGCAGTCTACTAATCTCTTCTATTTGAGAAGTAAAGCCAATTGTCTTATTTGATTTCTGTGTCTTAATAATCTTTCAGGGGGTTGGAAAGATGGCTCAGAATTTAAGAGCGCATACGGCTCCTGTAGAGATTTCAATTTCCATTCTCAGCACACACTTCAGGCAGCTTACAACCACCTATGGCTCTAGCTCCAGGGGATCCAGTACTCTCTCTGTCCTCTGCAACCACTCACATATACAAACACACACACACACACACACACACACACACACACACACTACACAAAATACACATAATTAAAAATAAAAATAGAATCTTTTTTTTTTTTTGGTCTTTTTGAGACAGGGTCTCCCTGTAGCCCCAGCTGGCCTAGAACTCACTCTGTAGACCAAGCTGGCCTTGAACTCACAGAGATCCTCCTGCCTCTGCCTCCCAAGAGCTGGGATTAAAGGCATGCGCCTCCACACCCGGCCCAACATAACTTTCCTTCACATGTCACTAAGATAGAAGGAATTCTCTGTTGATGTTAGAATGGGGACTAATTCTTTGCTTTGTAAATTCCACCAGGCGATCTCCAACAGCATCTTCAAGCAATGTTCATATTACTTCGTCCAGAAGACAACATCAGACTGGTAAGTTAGTGGCATCATTATAATTCTCTTTCTCAAAAGACTGTCTAAAATACCCAACTTTGAAGTCATTTTGTATTGGTGCACAGTGTTAAGAACTGTGTAGAATAAGAAAGAATGGCTTGTCCCTACCATCCATCTGAGAATTTAATCATGGTATAAGCTAATGTGGAGTTGTTGATCAGAGCTGATTTGAAAGTTATTGCACATAATAACAGTTTAAATTCAGAAAAAGAAAAAAAAATGGGAATTTGACCTGATTGAGAAAGTTTTTATGTTATGACAGTGGGACTTTAGCAAATCTTAAAAGATGATGAGATTAACAGAAGGTTTAAAAAAAAAAAAAACATTCTAGATGATGACATAACTGAAGCAAAAACACATGTGGGACAAGGTATGAGTGACATGACCAGGAACTGCTGCTGACCACAGAGTCAGGAGACTGGCTTAGGTTCTTCCCTATACCCCTTGCCCTTTTACTCATTTTCTGACCCCTCTCACAGTTGACAGGATCAAGTGGGCATGAAGACATCTTAGAAGTGTGCTGGTGGTCATGGTGGTGCATGCCTTTAACCCCAGCACCCAGGAGGCAGGGCAGGTGGATCTCCAAGGTCCAGGCCTGCCAGGACTCCATAGTGAGACTCTGTCTCGACCCTGCCCCCCAAAAAAGCATGAAATGCTTTTGTAAGAATAAGGCAGGCAAATAAGGATTTATGCTGTAAACTAAAGATCTCAAACTGAAAACTCACAGGACCAGAGATATGTACCGATTAGACTACACAGTGGTTTGTTGTTGTTGTTGTTGTTGTTGTTTAATGTTATCCCAAATTTTAAAGTTGGATTACATATATAAAAGTCCAAGACTAAGCTTTCTAGCAGTGCCAAGATTTATATCCTCACATGGCAAAATATAGCTAGATGTATCAATTCTACTAGATTCCTAGTTTGCCAAAATCTTTACATACCTGTTGTCTCCTGGACACTTAAAGTCATGTGTCATCATTCTTACATGGTTACTTTTCTTCTTCTGATAAAAATGGTAAAGCAAAAATGGGATGACTTCCTAACATGGTAGTATATACCTATAATCCCAGATCTCGGGGGCTGAGGCAAGAGTATTGCTACAAGTTCAAGGGCAGATTAGTCTATATAGAGCATAACAGGCCAGCCGGGGCTATGTAGCAAGACCCTATGCGAACAAAAATAGGATGAGCATGAATTTCTGCCCGTTTAGTATTCATGTCACTTACTTCATGTTAGGTTTGCATGGCTAGCACTTTTACCTGCTGAACATCTCACTGGCCCTGTCTACATTTTTTGTATTCTTGTTTCTCAAACAATTCTTTGACCCCATCAAGTAGGAAGCAGAACGAAGTTTTTATAGTTTTAGTGCTCTAAAGCAGTGATTCAGAGACTTTAGAATACATTAGAATCACCTAGAGTACTTTTTAAAATCACCAGCTACTGGGCTTCACTAGCAGAGTTTGGTTGGTGGGGTGAAAGCAGAGATAATGTGTAATTTTAAAAAATATTTTATTTATTTTTATTTTATGTGTATGCATGTATTGCCTGCATGTAGGTAAGTGCACCCATGTCGTGCAATGCCCATGGAGGACAGAAGAGGCTGTTGTATCCTCTGAAACTGGAGTTACCAGTTGTTAGCTGCCATGTGGGTGTGGTAATTCGAACCCAGGTCAACACCTTAGCTGCGTTTTTTGGGGGGGGGGGAGTTGAGACAGTATCTCATGTGTGCATTACATTTATAAAACTTTAATTCAGAGAATGTAACTCATGCCTCTGAATTAATTCATAGCTAAAATGACAAGCCATTTTATAGTTGTTTTGAATTATTACAAAAAATCATTATGTTTCAGATTATTGAATGAGTCATCCTCAAGAAAATGAGTGAGTGCATTGTGTGACTTTGGACAAATTAGCACTTTTTAACTAAAAGGGGTATTTGTAGACTCAGAGCGAAGCCTTTTGTGTTAAATTTGGAATGCTAAAACTATCTTGGGATTTGTACATAAGGTTAAAAGTTTGATAGCTAAATGAAAGTACTGCCTTTTTTTTCCTTTTCTTTCTCCACCCCCCCATAACCCAACAAAGCCCAAAGTTGTTTTTAAGCATGAAAAAGGATAAAACAAAATTGTTGCCCCCCAGGGGAGCTCTGCCTTCTAAACACGGGTATAAAGCATTAACTTTAGTACCTAGGAAAATTCTTGGGGCTGGAGTGATGCTTCAGTGGTTAAGAGCACTGGCTGTTCTTACAGAAGACCCAGATTCAAATCCCAGCACCCACATTGCAGCTAACAGCTATCTGTAACTCCACATAGAATAAAAATAATAAAATTTTTTAAAAGAAAATTCTAGCTGGTAAAATAAGTGGTTTTATAGTGCTCTTCCAGATTATCAAAGGCCCATTTAATTTTTAAAAACAGAATGAGAAATCGATAATTTTCATAATAGTACCTTAAATAATGTTCTTAACAAAGGCTGAGAACTTGGCAAAATAATTTAAGAAAATGAGTTTCTTGGTTTTAGTTGTCATACATTAATTTTTCAACAATAAAAATAAAAAATAAAATTAGCTTTTTTCTAAGTATATTATATAATGTTTTGTTTTATAAATAATTTAAAAAGGAATGAAGATGAAATCACCATATCCCACACTCTGAGAATACCATTCTTGGTGATTTGAATAAGCATCCTTCCATTCTTTAATTGGGTGTTTGCAGAGGGGGAAGGGGAGGGGGGAGTGAGCCTGTGAACACATTCCTGCTTAATTTTGTTTATTTGAAGTGAGATACTTGTTTTTTAACCTGCTTTCCTCATAGTTTATCATGGATATCATACCACATCAGTAAATTAATCATGGGTTTGGGGAGACGTATTAACTGTGCTGGGGATCAGACCCTAGGGCCTTTTGTGCTTGCTAGACAAGTATTCTATCTCTGAGCCATATCTCCAGCCTTAATCATGATTTTTAATGACTTTTTATAGATTTTTTTTCCTAAATTTCAGAACTTAATAGACTTTTTTTTCATCCAGACACACCCTCAAACTCTCTTGAAGATGGTGTTCTTTGATTTATTGTCACATCCAAAGTCTATTTTAATCTTAGCTGTTGATTTTACTTTGTTCTTTTGGCTAGAATTTAATATTTACATACTTATGAAACCTTACTTTCTGCTTTTGAAACCTCACTTTTTGATGGTTGGGTGAGCTGCCTGTCTAGACAGTGTGTCTTTATAATGTGGCTTCCTCGAGGATATATACAGCATGCAGAGGCATGGTGTAAGACTCTTGAGGAAAATTAATTAAGAGCAGAGGCGTGGTGTATGCTTTAGGAAGACTGTTTTCTGTTATTAGATGCTACTACTGAGGGAAGCCCTTGTACCGCTAGGATCTGTGAACTGCCTCTGCCTAGGTTAAACATTTAAATTGGACTGAGAGACATGTTAAGGGGCTTCTCTGAATGATCTTCAAAAACATGTTGAGTGCTTATTTTTATTTATATGTGAGTTCTGGAGATTGGGAAACACTGGAAATTATGTTGTTTCCATTACTGAAGTATTATATTCAAACTGCCATTTTGAATTGCACCTCTTTGATTGCCTTGAAAAATTAAATTATTAATTTTCTTTAATCTCCTCACCAGAAGAATATGAGATAGACCTCAAACCAAGAGTGGGGAGGATTGTTTATGCTTTGGGCTCATAAAATTTTGTTTATTCCTTAACACAGAGTTCGAAGCTTGAAAGACACTTTGAAGCCTCAAGTCCCATCTCTGACATTCAGTGTTCCTTATGTTGAATCACACCTCCTGATTAAAGTCAAGTATGAGATGGCTGGACCCTTGCCGTGAGGTTTGGGTCTTCTGTTATGAATAGATTAAGCAAAAAAGAGCCAAGAGTTTGAAATGCTCTTGATATTAGAAATTAAGTTTTTTGGTTTTTTGTTTTGTTTTTTGTCTTTTTGAGACAGGGTCTCCCTGTAGCCCCAGCTGTCCTAGAACTCACTATGTAGACCAGGCTGGCCTTAAACTCACAGAGATCCCCCTGCCTCTGCCTCCCAAGTCCTGGGATTAAAGGCATGCGCCACCACGCCCAGCCCAGAAATTAAGTTCTCTAAAAAGAAACATTTAATGTTTTTGCACCTAATCTCACTTAATAAAAACATCTTGGTGCCCACTTCTTATTGGGCCAGATAGTGTGTATTATAGCAATATTTATGGAGATTTTTTTCCTCTTTTTTAAAAAAATTTTTTAATGTATATGAGTATATTGCCTGCATGTATGTAAGTGCACCATGTTGTACATTGCCCATAGAGGTCAGAAGAGGGCATCGGATCCCCTGGAACTGGAGTTATGGACAGTTGTTAGCTGCCATGTGGGTGCTGGGTATTGAACTCAGGTCCTCTGCAAGATCAACCAGTGCTCTTACCCACTGAGACATCTCTCCAGCCCCATGGAGATGTTTTTCTCTTTCATCAGCTTTCACTTAGCCAGTCAGTTGCCACTAGTTGGTATAGGAACTGTCATCAGAAGTAGGGACTAAAGAGATGGCTCAGTCAATAAAGTAGTTGTTGCACAGCAGAAGGACCTGAATTTGATATCCAGGACCCACATAAAAAAAGCCAGATAGGCATGCCTGTAATCCCAGCACTGGAGAGACAAAGACAGGAGTATCCCTTGGGCTTGCTAGCCAGCCAGTCTAGCTGAATTAGTGAGCTCAAGCAAGATTCAGTGAGAGATCCTGAAAATAAAGCAGAGACTAATGGTCAACACAGTATTCACACACACACACACACACACACACACACACACACACACCACAAATAAATAAATAAAATATAAAAAGTGTTTTTTAATTTGTCAGAATTACAGTTCAGTTATTCCCATGCCATTTATTTTTGAACCTTGACAGACATTCTCAGAGCCTTGACAGGATAAAAGAGCTTCTAACACATTTTAGAAATTGTGCAGTTAGTTTAAAACTTA